ACACACACACACACACACACACACACACACACACACGCGCGCGCGCATACATACATGAGGATAAGTCTAAAAGTAGTGCTACAAAGTCACAGAGACCCTTACTAAATAAAAAGAGCCAAACATGAAGCTGTTATTTCTCAACATCTTCCTCACCTAGCTCTATATATTTCAGAAGGCAGGGTTTCCCATCTCTCGAACCACAACGTCAGCAGTTTAAAACCACTAGCCACTCTGAAGGAGAAGATGAGCCTTTCTACTCCCATAGACAGTTAGTCTTAGAAACCCACAGGGGCAGTTGGACCCTGTCCTGTAGGGTTGCTGTGAGTTAGAACGGAATCCATGGCCATGAGCCCTTTCCCCAAAGAAGCCAAACAGGTTTGGGCTTCCTCGAGGGACTTGAATCCTGTCTTTTTGATGTTCCTCCAGTTTTAGGCACGAGGGCAGGACTGGAGAGTGGGTAGGGTTACGTTTCCTAGTGAGATGCTCTAGGACAAAGCCCTTGTTACCCTCGGAGAAAGAGCAGGTGCATTGTCATGATGGAAAAACCACTCCTCGGTGTGACCTTTCTGCCCTTTTCCTCACCAATGTGCTCTTGAAACAGCTGTCTCACAAGCCCCTCTGGTGGTCCTAGGCCCATCAATCAAGATGACCTCTTTGAAGTCCCCAAAGCAGTCACCAGAACCATTTTTTCTTTCTTTTTTTTTTTTTCTCACCATAATCTCTTGATCTGACCTCTCCTGGGCAGACTGAAGTAGCCCGGTGATCCCCCCAGAAGCCACTGCTGGATTGAGACCTCCCATTGGAAGCCCACCCTAAATAGACCCAGTCAGTGCGTTACTGAGAGAATGTGTCTGTGGCCACCACAGATGACAGACATGGATAGGCAGGTTTTGAGGGGAATAAACCTGTTTGTGTAGGAACTGGAACCCAAGTAGCAATCCTTTCGGACCTACTCTTATATACGAATATAGTTGATCTGGGGGCTTCCATGCGCTAAGTATTACAGTACTCAAAATTCAGCCTATGGTGGGGCTTACTGGTCTGTCTCTCTCTTTTCCTACAGCCTCCTCCTCCTCCTCTTCCTTGATACACACTAAGGATATTCCAGCTTTATATTCCTCGCCAGGAGCCTCGGCTGTATGACGTCTGGTTCTAGCCCTTTTTTTAAAAAAATCCATGCATCTGTCTGTCTTCACTGCTCCTTGTGCCTGCTTGTCCTTCCTTGCAGCTGGCAGGCTTGTTTGAAGCTAGGTCTGTTTCTCTCTCTGGTAGCCAGCTACGGTTCATTTTCCACCATGCACCCTTAGCATAACCAGCTGTGCCCACGGGGTAAGTAACTCGGCTATTACTTTCATGCACCTCAAATGTAGACTTCCTGGGTGCTTGGCCGGTTCTTGGAACTCAAGGAACTGCAGCCTTGACGTTCTTTTTCTTCTGAGCTCACCGCCGCAGAGTGAAGAGGGGTCAAGAGAAGTCACCAGACACAACTTGCCGAGACCTTTCAAAGTTCTTCTAAATTTTTTTTTACTAAGCTCTATTTATGCCAGGGACCTTCATATGTCTCTACTTCTACATGACTCCTATAATTAGAGATAACTTAGGGAGTCCCTAGGGGGACTTGATTCGACTACCAGCTCAGTAATGTACTCAATCCAACTACCAGCTCAGAAGTTGGTGGTTCAACCCAACCCAGAGGCCCTTGGAAGAAAGTGTTGACAATCTTCCAAAAGATCTCGGAGCCTTAAAAAGGCAATAGAGCACTACAACCGCTAGCCCTGCAGGCAGGACAGCCTGGGGCTCACAGGCCTGGACCCTCCCTTCCAAAACAAAAAGAAAAGGCAATAGAGCACAGCCCCATTGTGGCTGAAAGTGAAGGGCATTCTGAGGTCTCCTGGGAAGTCAGCAGGTTTATTCAAGGATCTAGCTGTCTAGGAGATGAACAAAGAGCCCTGGTAGTGTAGTGGTTATGCATTGGGCTGCAATCTGTCAGGTCAGCAGTTCAAAACCACCAGCCACTGCAAGAGAGAAAGATGAAATTTTCTAGTCCTATAAAGAGCTGCCGTCTTGAAAACCTACAGGGGCAGTTCTACCCTGTCCAATAGGGTCACTATGAGTCAGTGCCGACTCAATGGCAGTGTTTTGTTTGTTTGGTTGGTTGATTGGGTTTTTTGAGGGGATGGATGTGAATCTTGCTACAAAAACGGCCAAGAAGCGAAGGACGGGGATACTGGACTCTGACATCCACTCATAAGTGTGCCCAAGCAGTAGCACTAATTCACAAAGGCAACCCAGCTGCAAGGGAGTCTGGGAAGTGTGGGGTTTTAAATCCGCTTATCACCCTCTCCAGTTAGAATAAAGGTGGGATTAAGGATGAGGGAGCCAACCTGTGACATCTACCACAGATTACCTCTCTGTCCAGGATGGCCTCTGCTGTGGTCGGGCAGGCACATCTACACGGTGTAAGCAAAGGTGGCTGGGGCTCAGCCAGGGCACGGGAGCGGTGGCTGGGGGCTGGGCAGATAATCCAGCCAGATGGAATTCGCTGCCCACGTGGAGACCCTTTCGCACATATTGGGGGAGCCCCTAGCAGGAACTCTGTTTAGCAAGGTGTGGCTCTCACCTCGAGTTGAGTTCAGAAGCTGGAGGTGGGGGGTCGTAAGCAAGAACCTCCATATATATGTCCCCGTGGCTATCTCTGCTTGTTTGTGACTGGCTGTAGAAACGTTTTTTTGTCATCTCAGTGGTTGGCCCTAAACGTAGGCCCGTGGCTCACAGAATCTGCTCCCTCTGCCCCCAGCTGCCCACATCGGCGTTGGCATCAGCGGACAAGAAGGCATGCAGGCCGTGATGTCCAGTGACTTCTCCTTCGCTCAGTTCAGATACCTGCAGAGGTTGTTGTTGGTGCACGGCCGGTGGTCTTACATCAGGATGTGCAAGTTCCTACGATACTTCTTCTACAAGAACTTTGCCTTTACCTTGGTTCACTTCTGGTACTCCTTCTTCAACGGGTACTCTGCACAGGTAACGGAGCCTTCTCTCTCTCTCTCTCTCTCTCTCTCTCTCTCTCTCAAGTATAATGGGTCTCTTCGTTCTGAGAGAACACCCTCATTTGTATCTTCCCCTGAGTGTTTGCAGTTTGGGAGTTATATCTTCTGAAGGTTGGGGTGTGGGTTATGTAGCATGATGGATGACTTTGCTAAAATGTTTCCGACGCCCTAACTGAGATTTTGTTGTTGCCTTTAAAAGGGGGAGAATTTAGCTAGGGGTCCTTCGCCTTCCATGTCTCTTTCCACACTTCAGAACAGAGGCAGCCCCATCTTCACTTTGAAAAAGATAAATTTGTATTGTGGGCAAGGCTTGGGCCTGCAAAGTACAAGAGAAGAGAACCGGCATGATGCTTGACTTTGAGCCCATTTTAAAATTCTATCGCTGGTCCACTAACAAAGGGAGATAGAAGGATGGGCACTGACGTGCTTCCCAGCGTGATTCAAATCAACAGACCTTGCTCACCAGCAGCCCTGGGAAGACAGGCCTTCCAAAAGGGGGTGCTGTTGTTCTACCCTGGTCCCGTAGGGTCTCAGGAATTGGAGCAAACTCCACGGTATCAGGTAAAACCAACAGCTTCCCAAGTGTGAGCCTTACTTCCCTGAGAGGGAACATCCGTTTCTGTGGAATAGTCTTTGATTCGACACTTTCCAGAGACAGACTCAGGTGGAGGGGGTGGGTGTTTGCTCTGGCAGTAGAACTAGCTAGTCGAGGAGGCCCCCTCTCCCCCCCCCCGCCCCCAGCCCTAGCGCTCTTGTCTCCAAGGAAACCGATGAACTTGTGTTGATGACAAACTGTGTCTTCCCCACACCCTGCCCCAACAGACAGCGTATGAGGACTGGTTCATCACCCTCTACAATGTGCTGTACTCCAGCCTGCCCGTCCTCCTCATGGGCCTGCTGGACCAGGTGAGGAGCCGCACGCACGCGGGAGAGACACGCCTGACAGCCGGATGGCCTAGAAGGGGGCCTTGAAAGCAAACCATTTGCGGCATTCTTAGGGTTCTTCACTCCTTTCTGGGCAAAGCCCATTCTAATCCCTTTGTCGGGCCCTGGTGTGCTGCCTGTTAGAGAGTCAGAAAAGAGGATTTCCAGAACTGAGTGGAATTCAGGGACAACGTTGTCCAGTATCTTCCCTTTGGACGCCAAGACCTTCTTGTTAAGCCTCCTGGCAGAGTCCTATGGCTCTGTAACAAGAACTTCCTCATTTAAAAAAAAAAGTTCTGTGTTTTCCGTGGACGTTCATAGCAGTGGAAGTTCCCGTTCACGAACCCCCGGCAACATTGGTTGGGGCCGTCGTCCCCTCTGCTTGCTCTGTTCCAACTCCCTCTCTCTAAAAGCAATGATTTTCTTAAAACTGAAATCAATTCTTGTCACACTTTCTAAAACTTAGGTCTCTAACTCCCAGATGAATTGACATTTTAGCTAACTGATAGAGAGAAAGGATTTTTCAGAGTAAAATGAACAATTTCGGATTACCTCATCCATTAATATGTGAAGATAGTTCCCCGGATACTTTGAAAGAGTAAATTCTCTTTCAGAGGTTAAAGACCCAAGCCAAAAACACTCCTACATTTTATCAGATATTATTCCTTTGTTTTCTCTCCACACATCACGGAATAAGCTTTTCCCAGCCCCACCATGAATTAAACATCCCAAACTGTAGACTGAGCAACAAGGTTGAGCTTTGTGCTCAGAAGATAGCACAGGCTTTATCATGTGGCTCATGTTTTTGCCTCCTAAAACTTAACTATGAGATGACACTCTTTGTAATTTTTGGTAACACTCTTTGTAACTTAACCATGTGATGACACGCTTGGTATTTTCGACTCGCTGCCTTGTGGTTGGTTTTGACCCATAAAGATCCTATGGGCCCGGGTAGAACTGCCCTGAAAAGATTCCAACACTGTAACCTTTATGGAAACAGGATGCTCTATTTCAATCCCTCGGAGCAGCTGGGAGATTCCAAGGGCCGATCTTGTGGTTAGCATCCTAGGGCTTTAAGTATTGAGCCACTAGGGCTGCCCGTAAGAGATTTCGATGGTTTCATATCTCTGAGTTCTTTCAGGCTGAGAGTGACATGCCACTCTGATTTTCTGTTCCCCCTCAGGATGTGAGTGACAAACTGAGCCTCCGATTCCCTGGTCTGTACGTTGTGGGACAAAGAGACTTACTATTTAACTACAAGAGGTTCTTCGTCAGCTTGTTGCATGGGGTCCTAACATCCATGATCCTCTTCTTCATCCCTCTCGGAGCTTTCCTGCAGACCATGGGCCAGGACGGGGAGGCCCCTTCGGACTACCAGTCCTTTGCTGTCACAGTGGCCTCTGCTCTTATCATAACCGTGAATTTCCAGGTACGTGTTCATAATCCACCTAGTCAGCATCTACTGCTACTGAGTTCCTTCACCTAGAGGCGCCTGGCTGCCCATCTCCCTGTGGTTTACAGACTGTGAGCGCTATTTCCATCCCTTTCACCGGGTACATTTCCTGTCCCCTGCCTCCTCTGCCAAGGGTAGTCTCTGATGGGTCAGTATCCAAGCCACCCTGGCACCTACAGCGCTGGATTCTATTTTCAGAATTTGTAGATACTTTGTTTCCTGCCAACTCCCCTCCTGAAAAAAGGGGGGGTGGGGTGGGCAATGAATGTATAAATGTGCTTTACACAATTGATGTATGTGTGGATTGTGGTTAAGAGTTGTATGAGCCCCAATAAAATGAATTTTTTTTAAAGAATGTTCTGTTTTTCTCTGGTTTCCCAACAGATTGGCCTGGACACTTCTTACTGGACTTTCGTGAATGCTTTTTCCATCTTTGGAAGCATTGCGCTTTATTTTGGCATCATGTTCGACTTTCATAGTGCTGGGATTCATGTGCTCTTTCCGTCTGCATTTCAATTTACAGGTTGGTATTTTCAACATTCCGGGACTAAAGGCAAATATCATTAGATTCTGACATAGCTTCTGGGCCCATTAAAAAAAAAATACAAGAAGTCGAAACGATTGCTCGGGAAAATTAGTAGTGCCCTGGCTAGAAATGGAGCGATGGGGTGGGTTGGAAGGGAAGTAATGTAGGCGGGAGGATGAAAGCACACTAAAATAACTTTAGGGTACAATTTTGCATCTGTTAAATTAGACAAACGTTTCCATAAGTCAAATGATACATCATACGAAAAATAAGAATGCATTTATTTTGACGTTTGTAAAACATCACCGGGGATTACATGCTGAACTTTGTAAGCTTTTTACAGTTTTTAAACCAGTATTTCTACTTAGGGAAAAGAGTCTAAGATCAAACACACCACATTTTGGAAAGTAATTCTACCAGTGCAAAATTTATCATTCTTTAAAAATAAACTGACCAAAAGACCAAAAAAATATCAAAGTAGTTCATCAGACTTCAAAGTATCAATCTGATGGAATTCTAGGGCTCTCAAGTGGGGCGGCATCATTGGGAATAGGGCTGCTGACAGATGAGCAGAGGGAGGGAAAACACAATTGGTATGTGGCCAGTGATTACAATTGTAGAAACTGGGCATTTTCCCAAATGCCAGCAGTTCATTTGAACCGACAGGGGCATTTGGAATATATGAGCTCCCTGTTTTGAATAGAGTAGCTTAGATTCCCAATGAAGAGTCCCTATAAATTATAGTTTCTAGAAAGATTCATTTTTCTTTCTTAAAAAATTTTTTTTGAACAGTAGTTAGTTATAAAAGCATTGGCTGTCATAACCCATTTCTTCTTGGGACGGAGCAACTATTTTTCATCTAGTGATTGTGTTTTTCTTTACTGATTGTGTTTTAAAAACTTGACACCCAGAGACTTAAGACTTTTCCCATAAGGAATATCTTTAAATCCAGGCACATTTAGAACTGTAAAAACCACATTTAACAAAACAAAGGCTATTAACTTATCAGAGAAAACAGAACTCATTCTGATAGATTTGGTTATGGAAGATCTTAGTTAGAATATTTAAATTGGATAGTCTATCTGATTTCCTAATTGTCTTGTAGAACTGGGCTGTGACTTTCTAGAAGCTAACTTGTGGCAGGAAGTGCATGAGCTTTAGAGAGGCAAATGGGTTTGATTCTGGGTGAGGTATGCGTTAGGCAAATTCTTAACTTCTCTGAGACTTGGTTTCCTTAACATGGCAAAGAGAATTATACCCATATCTCTGAGCTTATTAAATAGCCTGATCTGTATAAAATATCAAGGCCAGGCCAATCACCCAAAGAGTCGTACCATTAAATATTAATATTGGGGTGTTTCAAATGGAAACCATAAAGTGATTTTTAAATTTCTTGAAGAAAAAAAAAAGATTTGCCCAATCTTACATTTTTAATCAATGCCATTTGAATATATATTTCTCCCTTGTTTGTTTATGAACACCTTGCTTGGTGTGGTGGGTTATGTATTGGGCTGCTGCTAACCTCAAGGACGGTGGTTCAAACCCACCAGCAGCTCCATGGGAGAAAGAGGAGGCTCTTTGCTCCTGTAAAGATTTACAGTCTTGGAAACCTCTAGAAGCCCATTTATCCTGCCCGATAGGGTTGCTGAGAGAATCAGCTTGATGCCAGTGAGAGTCTCAGTCTAGTTCCAAATAATTTGCATTCCTAGTTTGATTTTGCTTAGTTAGGCTTTAAAATGCTTGTCCCTTGAGCAGTGATGGGGTGCTTAGGGAAGACCAAGATGGTTAAATCAGCACAGACAGATAGATAATCTACTTTTGTGGGACATGAACTGGGCCCCGAGGCTAAAACAATGGCTGGGTGGCTGTTAGTCGATCTTTCTGTTCTTTGCAGGCACTGCTGCAAATGCCCTCAGGCAGCCCTATCTCTGGTTGACCATCATCCTGACTGTTGCTGTGTCCTTACTGCCCGTCATTGCCATTCGCTTCTTGTCAATGACCATCTGGCCATCAGAAAGTGATAAGGTACAATGCAGAAAGAGGGTCCTTCTGAGAGACCGGGCCATTTCCCGAGCGTGGCCTTCGGGCCACTCTAAACCTGCGGGAAGTGTAGTAGCATACGTCTTCTTCCTACTTCCTGACTTTCATATGGAAAGTGGGATTAGAATTTCCATTTGTTATTAAAGCTGTCAACTATCAACAGAGAGAGTCCAGGTTCACGAGCTAGTTTATCGCTTAGTGGTAGCAAGGACAGTCTAAGCATCTTGCCATGCAGATAGGTTGGAACTGGTTTCCCCCTTTGAGGTGGGGTGGGGGCAGGGGAGGGGGATGATGTCACTTCTTACAGTAGGATCTTTTCAGTAAAAGTAGCGAAAGTCATCGCTCAGAATGGCTCAGTGACAAAGAAGTGTCTCAGCCCCATCCCCTGACCGGTCTCAGGCTTCAGACGCAATCGAAGGCACGCTTGAATGCCGTGGCCTAGGGCTCCCATCATCCGGGTCACCTGGAAGTTCTGGTAGTTTCTCATTTCCCATCCTGGTGTATCGCTATCTAGGGAAGGCTAGAGACTGGTCTGTGGCTTCCCTTGGGAGCCTCAGGACTTGTCACAGAAGGGCCCCCAGTACACTCCCTTCAGGTCTCAGCCAGAATTCCATCAGACACCACCACCACCACCACCACCACCACCCCGCCAGGGCAGAGCTGAACGCTTCCTTCGGGTTCTCTTGGCTGGGATCTTTAGGGCGTAGACCCCTGCCCTTACGGTGCGCGGCCGAGCACTGAGGTGCTGCGCCGCCAGGACTCCCAGCCTAGATAGGGAAACCCATCTTGCCCACCCTGGGACCGGCACCTGCTTCCCATAAGAAAGGTCGCTGTGCCGTGAGTTGTCGTGTGACCGCAGCGGTGCTACTTTCAAGAATGTCACCTCTGCGCAGCTGAGTTACCCAGACGCTCCAGTGGCTGTGTAGGTGCTAGGGAGGCAACCTTGAAGAACCCTGGAATATACAGACACAAGGCGTGGGGAATGTGCGCTCCAGGGTCCTCTGTTCGTTTCTGACTCCCATCGGTTGGATTGGCAGACTGAGAAGAGGAGGAAGGCGCCCCTTTGTAGCCCTGAGAAAACTACCTAGCCTCTCCTGACACCGCCCCCCTCCATTCCCCACCTGTAAAGTAGTAGGGGTCACCAGGTGACCAGCCCCGCGTGTACCAGAGTGGGACTCTGCTCTGTGGGGTTTTCTAGTGGGTAGGTGTTTCGGGAGTGGTTCTAGGTTTGTCTTTCCCAGCACCTGTGGGTGAACTTGAGCCAACAACCTTTCGGCTAGCAGGTTAGCCCGATTTTCCGTTTGCAGGGCCTCCTGGGCATGGTGGTACAGGCCTTAACAGCAGGTGGGGGGTCGTCTGTTTGCAGGGGCACCATCCCCCTGCGTGCCCATTCATCCGGCACATTGTTTTTACGCCTGTGCGTGTGTTCCCACCTTGGCCAGATTCAGAAGCGCCGCAAGCGGTTGAAGGCGGAGGAGCAGTGGAAGCGGCGAGAGAACGTGTTCCGCCGGGGCGTGTCGTCGCGGCGCTCGGCCTACGCCTTCTCGCACCAGCGCGGCTACGCGGACCTCATCTCGTCGGGGCGCAGCATCCGCAAGAAGCGGGCCCCGCTGGACGCCATCGTGCAGGACGGGACGGCGGAGTACCGGCGAACTGTGGAGAGCTGAGGGGCCGCCGCGCCCCTTGTAAAGACACGGCGACACAGAGCAGATGTATATTTTTTTATACAAGACTCAGGATTATTATTATTTTTTTTAATTGAATTTGCCCTCAGAATTTGCCCACTACTTGGACTGAACTAGGAAGCTTTAGCAAAGCCAAGGAAAACATTTCTGGAAAGTTATCTGACTGTGTATGTTCCTTCCGATCTAAAAGGAATGTCCTAGACTTCCTCTTCCTTTTCCATCCAGCAGGGTTGCAGGATCATGGTAGGACCCTTCCTGTCTGTGACCTGCGGTATACATTTCTGGGAGGCCCCCTTTTCCCCGTATATACCATCTTGCTCACTGTTTCCTTCTGAGAGGGCGAAGGAGGGAAGATCCCAGGATGGTGCTCACCTGCAAGCTAAGCAGCTCTGCAAAGTTAGGTGGGGTCAGTCAAGAAGTTACGTCGGCTGGTCATGGTTAGGCTTGCTCCATTTCTGGCCACTACCTGGGTGTGAGAGTTCACATTCCATCGCCCCTTATTGCCAGGTATTATTTGAGCAACTTCCTATAGTACCTGTACTGGCAAAGGATTTTTTTCCCTACTCTCTTACACACACACACACACACACACACACACACACACACACTGAAATATTTAGGGACTATTAAAACAACTGTTATTGTTTTTTAAAAAAACAAGCAGTTATTTGTGATGAATTGTAGAATCTTTTGCAAAGCTTTCTTTTGGAAAGCACACATCTGGACCTGGTCTAGATGTCGAGTGTTTTATAAGGGAATGAAAAAAACCAAGACCTCGCTCTGTTTCCACTTGACTCCTGCTTTGTAGAGAGCAGGTTGCTGGTAGACACATGTCGGAGAGCAGGCAACTGTCTTGTATCCTTCTAGAGCAGAAGAGGAACCCTAGGTAACTATGGAAACCAGCCTCCAAGAGGTGACCATTTTCCCGAGACTTTTCTCATCCTACCTTGTGCACACAGGAACCTGACGGAGAAGGTGTCCATGTGTTTTCAGTAACTGCGCTCTTTCCCCCTGGGCTGTGGGTGCTCCTCCGACCGCTGTCCGTCCGTCCGTCCCTTTGAATTCCTTTGAGGAAATCACAAGATGTACATAGTTCATTTTTTTAGGACTGATAAAAGAATGCATGCCTCTTTAGTCCGTGAACAATGAATTCTGAAAGTTTACAGTTTTTCTCATGCATTCAGATGATCGTGCGTCTCTTCGTCTCTCTGCTGCGTGAAGGTAAGCTAGCTCGAGCCCTGCCGGTTCCAGGTTTCCCTCCTGATCTGCTGGAGGTGGGGAAGGCTGACAACGCAAATGTGTCAAAGACTCAAAATGTTGGGTGCAATAGTAACTGTTGTAAAATGCAAAATCGCTTTGGATAAATTATTTCTATATTCTGTAAATCTGAGATCGAATTTCTATTTTTGTTTAAAAAAATAAATGCTTTAGTAAAATCTTGCAGGGTGGGGTGGAAAGTATGATCTTTTAAAAAGGGTTTCCCCTTCGGGTTCTTCCAGAGTGGTGGAAACTCTTTGTCTGGTGTTCTTGGAGTGGGTGGTGGTGGAGGGGGTGGGGGGCGCTCCTTGGAGTCAAAAACAGTTGGCTGCTAACCTAAAGCTTAGTGACTCAGAACCCACCCACCTGCTCCATGGGAAAAGGCCCTGGCCCTCTGCTTCCCCAAGGTCACAGCCTGGAAAGAGTTGGACTGTGGGAGAGTTCTACTCTGCCACGCACGGGTCACCGGAGTTGGAGCCCGCTGCAAGACACAACGTTTGTTTAGGCTGATGACGGGAGAATCCAGGCCTGCAAGGTTTCAGAGGGGACTTGGGAGCCCTTTGGTGGTAGAGACTGGGACACGAGGTCACATGGGATGGTGCTGACTTTAGAAGCAGAGGGATGTATTGGTGGTGGGGGAGGTCATGGAGGGCTCCATGGAGGGCTCATTTTAGTAAGCTCAGCCCAGGGCTCACTCTTCCAAGTGACCTCCCCTCTGTGGAGCCAGAATAAGAGTAATCAGAAGGGAGTGACCCTGGACCAAAAGAAGGTGCTGAGAAGGGTGCAGGCGGAGGTGAGGGATGGGCAGGAAACAAGCCTAGAGGAATTAGTGAGAATGCTGAAGGGAAGGAGAGCTGAGGCCTGAGGAGGACGGCTGGGTGGGCAGAGTCCCATGGCCTGGCTCCTTGACACTCAGGGAAGCTGTGGCCCAACCAGACCTTCAGTAGGAGGCGCTCTGTGGGACCAAGATGGGGACACTTCTTTGTGAGGTGTAATGAAATTAGGTGAGAAAATGATCCGTTTGAGGGTGCTTTTAAAATTCATGCTAACGTTCCCTCTAGTCTGTGACTGAAATCTTATTTGTGAAGAAGAATGTGGATGTGTGTCATGTAACCCTTTAGAAATAGTGGGGGGGGGCAGCTGGGCAGCTTATTCATCTCTGCAATAGAAATGACATGGTCGGGGCCACGATCAACGACGGGCCCTGGGCCCTGGTAGGATGGAAGAACTCCATGTGGACCAGAACTCAAATTCTTAAAATGGAAAAAAAAAAAATCTTAAAATGCCCAAACTGGACCCATTGAGACTAGAGGACTCCCTGAGAATATTGCTCTGAGATGTTCTCTAAACCTTGAACCACCAACTGCCCCCACGGTCACCTTTCAGTGAGATCACAGATTGGTACATGACATCATGGCTATTGGCTCCCGTGAGTCTGGTCCTCCGTCACCAAGCTAGCATAGGAGACCAGAAAGTCAACAATTGCTGTAAAGCCGAGCAGGGAGACTGGAGTACAACAGACTAACCGGAACACAGAGAAGGTGGAACACTGGGCAACGTGCACCGAGTGGCCCCGAACCATTTATGCGAGCAGAGCTTTTCTGATGGGAACCTAGTTGGGTATGTAAACCTTCACCAAAAGAACAGTAAAATATTTTTTAATGGTCTGAGTAAAAGTGCTGAGTGGAGCTAGACTATAGCCCCCCTACTAACTAAAAAGCCAGGTTATTTGTTTGTTCCCCTCAGGGTGTACGATGGTGTTTACATTGTTTGAGGAATAAGTGGTTTTTAACCAAAGAGCACCACCTAATGTTTCTCACTGATGGCACCACAGTGCAGAGCAGGGGGGTCCTCAAACTTTTTAAACAGGGGGCCAGTTCTGTCCCTCAGACCTGTTGGAGGGCCAGACTGTAGTTTTAAAAAAAACTACGAACAAATTCCTATGCACACTACACATATGTTATTTTGAAGTAAAAAAACAAATGGGGCAAAAACACCCGGCGGGCCAGATAAATGTCCTTGGTGGGCCGCATGTGGCCTGCAGGCCATAGTTTGAGGACACCTGGTGCAGAGTATTAGAAACTGTCTGCTCAGTAATCCTAGTTGATGGGCATAAAAGACATCTTAAGAGATTCCAACATGATTGCAAAATGTTCCCTAATGGAATCTAAGTGTATTTTAATAGGTGCTGCCACCGTGAGCTATGAATGAAGCTTAGGAGAAAGCCCTCTCAAACACAGATTTGCTACAGTTTCTGCTGCAATGAAAACTCCTGACAAATGTGTAAACACAAAACATCCTCTGAATCAGTGAGGGGGAAGCACAGCTTACTATGAAGTGAAGTTGAAACCCTTGAAAAAGCTTGTCTTGACTCCAGTAGACATTTCTCCAAAGATGCTCAATGGCCCACCAGCAGGTCCAAAGCTGTTCAACATCATTAAACATTAGGCAAATCCAACTGCACACCATGACAACATGTAACACCCAGTAGAAAAGGTCCAAGACCTCATTTTTGACAATGCCATCTCTGAAATGGCAGCCAATCACAAGCAGTAAAAGGTGGACTGGGTAAGTCAGACTCCATCCAAAGGAAACAATGAGCCATCAAAGGGCCTTAGCAAGAAAATGCAAAGACCACCTGCAGACTTACAAGAGATTAGTTGGGAACCAGATGTCTGAGAAGGGTTTAATATCAAGATTATGAAAAGAACTCCTACAACTCAGTAACAAAAAGCCCATCTGAAAGTCTGAAAATGGGCAATGAACTTGAATAGGGCTTTCATCAAAGAAGATGAATAAGTGACCGATAAAGATATGAAAAGAAGCTCAAAAGAAGCTCAATGCCATTAGTCCAAACTGCCCCCCTGCCACGGAGTCAATTCCAACTCACTGTGATGCAATGTAGGATTTCCAAGGATGTAAAGCTTTAGGAGAAGACAGCCTCATCTTTGCTGCGCAGTGCGGCTGGGGGGCTTGAACCACCAGCCTCATAGTTAGCAGTTCAATGCCAGACCCACAGCATCACGAGGGCTCCTTCATTAGTCATTAGCCAGACCAAACTCATGTGACCTTTGTGAAGTTTCCTCATGTGACTATGAGGGTTCCAGTTTATATAAACCAGGTTTTATTACAAACAAAACATAATTAAAGTGTCTGATAGGTGGTTGGCTGTAGGCAAGTTCTCTCACAATACACTTATGTATTATCTCCTTAGGGTGCCTTCCTGTGGGGGGAGGTCAGATGCGCAGGCATTCCCTCCCCTGAGGGCAATCAGTTGCCAGACTGTTGTCTCATCCCACCACAGGGGTGGGCCTGCTCCCTGCCTCTGGGGACAATGGACAGGCTCCTGTAGGCGGAGTTTGCGCCCCACTGATAATCGTTCCTATGGAGACCCAGAGACCACCCCCTCATTGCTGTGTAACCTATAGTGCAGCCCCTTCCTGTGACGTATGTCTCTACCTGTAATTAGTGGGCTGGCATGCCCCCAAAAGGTATATAGGCATGGGTCAGCAATATAGAGCTCTCTGACTCTCTGATCCTCCTTGCTGCTCACTCCCTGGTCACTCCCTTCTCTTCCCCCTCTCCCTTGTTCCCTTGCCCTCCTTCCCTTCCCCTCTCCCCATGTGGACCACCAAGCTGGGCTGAGGTGAGCAATGCTACCATGTAATGTGTCTGACTGCATTATTGTAATATCTCTCATGCTCTCGATGACTTTAATATAATACTTATATATCTCAACCATACTATTGTGCATTACTGAACTCAGAAGTAGTATTACTGAACCAGTGAGTTCTAGTAGCGGGTGGGCTGGCACCCCACTCCCTCCTAGCCATTTTAATTTAATACTACACTTCCAAAAATATTCATGGCAGCTTTATGTGTAATAGGTTAAAAACAGGAAATACATTTTTTTTTTTGAAAAAAAAACAGGAAATACAGAGTCCCTGGGTTATGAGCACCCCACCTATTGTGGACAATGCCTAAATTCCCTTTCATGTTCTGTGGTTTGTCCTTGCTTTGAAACTACAAGCAACCTCTACTGGCAACAAGTTAAATCAGGACTACGGTTTTCCAGGGTATCTGCTATGCCGGGTCAATGAAAGACTCAGAAGCTTATGGTAGCTGGCATTGTTTTGGTGGGGGTGGGGTGGGGGGAATCCCAAAGGAGTCATCTTTGAAGATTTTCTCAAAGGACTCAGGGTGACCATGGAGACCCATGAAGAAGCTGTGAGAAAACTGAGCACTGCACTGGTGACAAAAAGACGAGGAACGTTGTGTCGGGAACATTTCATTACATCACAGGTGCCTGCTCATTTTTCAAGGGTAACAAGGGCTGTGTTATGAGAATGTCTTTGGGAAGCTTGACCCCAACACCCTACAGCCCCCCTCAGACCGCTTTTTGTTCCCCAAATGCAAAGAACAATGAAAAGGAACAATGAGTCCCTGTGGGTGTGTCAGTCTGGGTAAACGAGGGAAAGAAATCCACAGAAGCTCATACGCATAAGAGAGTTTTACATAAAGGGCAAGTGTATATTCAGAAAGCATCCCAACTCAGTGCTGCCCAAGCCCACAAGTCCAACATTAGCCCATATGTCCTCCACCAATCTACAAAGTCCTTAACAGGCAATGACGCTGACTGCAGGAGGAAAGCCGAATCAGCGAGTGTATAAACATCTCAGTGCCGGCAGGGGTCTCCAAACCTGATGATGGTGACGGTTTCAGAGATAAATACATCTATGAAAACATGCCAAATTGTACACTTCAAATATGTGCCGATTGTGTGCTCATTATGACCTCAAAATTAAAGGCTGCTTTGTCTTTAAGAGAGAGAAGACAATGAGTGGAGAGGGTCATAATCCTACATCAGAAGGGAACGCCAGAATGACACAAAACAAAGGAAGGAAAAGGGTTATGGGGAGTGGAGAAGAGACTTTTTAGAACAAAAGTTACCTAAAAAATTAAATAAGAACAGAAATGATTTTTAAGACAAACGAGTATAACGTAGATTCACATTTTTCTGTTTGAGTCACAGATCATCCCGGATTGAGAGGCTTCCCTTTTCACAAATTTCTCCCGAAAATAGCAACTCTCAGTTCTTTGTCTTTGGCAAGAAACCAGAAGTACCATGATGTTGATTCCCTATTCATGGTTATAAATAGAGAACAATGTGTTTCATTAGACATT